AATAGCCCAAGGGTTCCACTCCCCAGCTTCCACCGTCTGCGGCAGGAGAAGTGAAGTCTGTCTCTGCTGCTGCTGTTGTTGTCTCTACTGTTGTTGTTGTTGTTGAGGTGGAGGGGACAACCCACGGCCCCTCCCACTTTGTTGTTGAGCGGAGGGGGCCCTAGATCCCCTACTAGGGCCGTCGTGCCTTTGTTTGGTCCTCCTCAACTTGGGGATCTCGGTCACACACCTGACCCCGACCAGCGGCCCTCGAGGGTGGGGGGTTGGCGCTGGTCCCTGTTGATGGAGCGTTGTTGGTTGACCCCCGACCTCTCCTTGCGGTGAGGGCCTGCCTCTGCCTCAAGAAACCTAGGTCTATGCGGGGCGTATGTGACATGACTACCTCAAAGGCGTCCTCTGTGTCTAGGGACTAGAGGATGTTGAAGTCAGGCCACGAATCTCTCCCTGAGGTCCCCACCTCAGCGTGCGAAGGAACAAAAGCCTCTCTGGCCCCAAACTCCTCAACTACAAAGGCGCCCTTTACTTCCGCCTCAGTAGCCCTGTTAGGGCCTTCCTCCATGTTCTACTCGGCCTCTTGTTGCGCTGTCTGATCAAAGAGTTCAGACCACTGCGAAGGGTTGAAAGGTTGGGGGAGTTGTGAAAACTTATTGTACCCTGCTGTGTAGTCCAAGAGAAGATGAGCGGCTCGGTTGAACCCGTCATTGCCGACAAACTTGCAAACAGTTATGAGGTCGGCAAAGTGTACCAAAGACCGAGAAGGAGGGGAGACTTCCCGGGTGGAGACGTCTGCACAAGAAAAAAGGTTATTAACACTTGCAAAATATCCTAAGGACGGTAAAAAATTGGACTCGAAAAAGCCGACGTACTTTTCATTCTCCACTCGAGGGGGCACCTCAGACCATCGTACTTGGGATCGGTCCCCCGCTCCCAAGATCCACTGAAGATCAAGAGGTCATCCTTGTACCCTTTGTCCGAGTCAGGGAGGCGAGTTACTAGGTACATGGATGGATCCCTGACTTTGAGGTAGAAATTCTGCTTAGGCATGACCCTCAACAGGGGGTAGCAAAGAAAGATATCGTTGAGCCCAACGTTCACCCCGAGACGGTTATTAAGTTCTAAGACCCCCATGATTATCCTAAAGACATTAAGGCAACACTGCCTGGGAAAGAGATTGAAATGAGAAAGGAACTCGAGGAGTAGAAAAGGCAGAGGGAACCTAATTCTACCCTCTATGATTGCTTTGGTGTAAAAGGGCATCTCATCCTCGCCCCCGAGATTACGATTATGCAAAACTGGGTCGTACTCTTCTATACCTACGTTTCGGGGAATGTGATATCAGGCTCTAAACTTATCGATTTACTGGTCTCCTTTCACTTTGTACTTCCCTGGCCTCGAGGAACTAGCCTGGGGGTCCTCAGTAACAGGGCGGCGTCGGGGCATCTCCAATTAAAATGAAAAGGAAAGGGGAAGGAAAAAGAGTTTTCCTACAAGGAACCTCGAGTGGTTTCCTGAGGGTTGGTCAAAACGACGACAACAAGAAACACCTCCGGTTCCCGGGGAATGAAAAGCAAAACCCAAAAGAAGGATGAAAAGAAGGATGCAAGGACTCACCAGAATGCAAACGAAGATTTCCGAGGAACTTGGAGTGGTTCCTTTCTCGAGGAAGGTTCGGAAGCAAAAAGGGGTTTGCTGATCCAAACTCCGATGATGACTGATTAGTAGACGATGTAACTAAGGGTGTCTCCGATGGTAAACGATGTGGCTAAGGGTGTCTCCGACGAAGTCTCCGGCGAAGACTCTCTGAGAGTTCGAAGTGTAAAAGTGTGGGAAAGAAGAAGAAGGCCCGTTTATATAGTGCCTGTCCCCATCATTGGGCACAAAGCACAAAGGGGCGCATTTAATGCACACGACCTCCTAAGTAGCAAAAACGGCTGAAAGCAATGATGGGGTGGTTGGGGCAGTTGCAAAACTCTTTGTCTTCTTACGACACGTGTCCTCAGCGTCAATGGATACTAACCGATCTGATCACGACACGTACGCGTCGGTCCATAATCCCCCTTTTCCCGAGAATATTATTCACAAGGATCAAGGATCCCCAGTATGCATAGACCGACACGTGTCCCTCAGTCAGTTTGGGTACATCGGCCCCTAGCGACGTTGGACCCTCGGCACTGAGGTATATCTGTCTACGAAACATTTATGCTCCTACAGAGCTATTGATAGACATATCACTAGCCTAGGCTAGACTAGACTAGTCATCATGACCTCGTCTTACTCAAATGGTGTCAAGAGGCACAAGAAAGTAGAAGGCTCAACCAAGGGGGAATGGGTACGTGGCGTATTGTGTCAGATCAGAGACAAAAAGACCAGAATGCCCTTACTGACACACGACTTGGGAAAGCAAGTATTTAATACACCCTTCCCTTGATGAGACAACATTTAATGCATGAGAGCTTGAAAGTGAAAGGTAATAAATGTCCCAAAGCCTAGGCATTTAATACACCCCCGCCGAGGGAAGGTCATTAAACCCTTTCTCAAGCATCATACAGTGTTTTCTTCTTTTCCTCTCTCAAGGAACTGACTTGATCGTCGAAAGGGATACGTCGAAAAATACTCCGGCGCCCTTCTAACCTGTTTTTCTTTGCTCTAGGAGCCTCCCTTAGCCTCCTAGGATCATTCAGGCGACTCATAAAAACGATTCGTTATCCCTCCTTAGGCCACCTTCGGCCCTCACAACCGGTCCCAAGTAGCAAGATTGGCCACTCGATCGACGGATGCGTGTTCATCACGGAAGAGATATGTTCTTGTGTTTATATTGTGCAGGATCGTGCACGCAAAATTACTCTTTATTTAAGGTTGGCATGGCTGCAAAATGTTTTGGTTTGAAAAAGTTCCAATCACAATTATCATGCATAAAATGCAAGCCTATTGTTTTTATTTTGGACCATTGCATTGCATCTTTTGTCCTTTCATTGAATTAAAATGATCAGAATCTCAGGTTTTGCATTCTATTTTTGCAAGGGAAGTATTTAAATTGATAGTAGAATCAGATATATTTAGTAAATTAATCAAAGCAACTAATAATTTGTTAATCAGTGCCCCAAGTGTCATTACGTATGACTGCAAGTACACAAACTATTTTTTAATGCATAATTTATGAGGAATCTATTAACTCCCCAAAGCATCCAACCAAGTCTCAAACTAGAATCCAAGCTCATAGGACAGTTAACGCATTAGAGAATCACAGGACAGTTGATGCATCTACCTAAACAAATTCTCAAACTAGAATCCAAGCTCCTTTGTTTTTCAAAGCGAACCATCTGATGTAAATATTTATATTCTACTTTGATAATGTCAGTTCATAAAGCCAACAATTGTTTACTTGCAGTGTTGATTTTCAATTCCTTAAATATTATAATTTTGTGTATGGATGGCAATGAAAAATTGAGTTTTTTGTTGTATGCACCAATGTGAATGTTGGCTTAGTTTTGACAGACAAAGCATACCGAAGCTTTGTTTTTTAAATCAATCCATTGTGCAATCATTTACAACCAATACTATGCAAATCAAATTTTGAATCTCAAATCAGTATGGATGGTTGGATCAGTGAGATCTATTAACTCCACAAAACATTTAATGCATAGGATTTTGACACGTCATTTGTGATACAAAGTTTAGTAAATAAATTTGGACAGTACAATTTTATCCATCATTCACTTATTCGTGAGTTATTCAAGCTTTATTTTGTTGTTTCCCTCCCCATCTCAAAGCAATGCTCCAACCTTTCTTATATTTTTATATTCACTTATTAGTTTGTTGTAATAACAACACTCTAATTTTCCACTTATGGCCCAATATAGTCATAAAAATAGACAAAGATAACTTAATATAGAATCAAAAATTATAAATCAAAATTGTTCACATGCAACACACGTGTGCATCAACTAGTAATGCACAAAAGTGAATTTATGCAAAATCAATCAAGGATAAAGTAGAGAGGGCTCAACACAAACAAACACAAAGATTAGGTGGATTGAATTAGGTGACCTACTCCACTAGAAATGGCGACGGTGGCAGAAGAATCATATTATTTTATAGATGTAGTGTGTTAAGATATATGTGTTGCCCCCCCCCCATGTGTACATAGGGTTTACAATTTACAAGAGAGTACAGTCTTAATGCATCCCAGAGCGGCTTTGATAGAGGCATCATCCCGGGCAGCCCAGATTGAGGCATCACCCTTGTGACGGGAGTTGATAACTCCATAATGTTGACGTAAATGACGATGTGGTTGAGGATTGTGATGCGTATCATGATTCTCTTCCTAAGATGGAGATCTCAACAGGGTNGCGATGCGTATCCTGATTCTCTTCCTAAGATGGAGATCTCAACAGGGTAACTAGTAGACTAGGCTTTCCAAAACGATGGGTGAGGTCTTTGTTGGTCAGTATTTCTGATCTGGCCAGACTGCATCTGTTACATGGGTCTGGTCTACATTTTTAAACTAGGCCTTTAAACTGGGTCTGGTCTGTAATTTTGGACTGGGTCTAGTGTGGGCCGGCTTGTCACTTATAATTTCTTAAAATATTAAAGAAATAAATATGTTCAAATTCTGTACTGGAAAAGGGCAAAAAAATTCTAACCAATCTATGTTTAAGTAATCCCTCCGTTCCTAAATATCTGTTGTTTTACATAATTTTTTTTGTTCCATAATATCTATCGCTTTATGAAATCAAAGCATAATTAATATTTTTTCTTTCAAATTTACCCTTAACTTTTCAATGCATTAAATTAGGTGAAGGTTAAGTGTCTTTCATGTTCATTTCCTTCACAATACGTATTGAATAAGAATATTTTAATCTTATGTAATTATTTTTTACTCATATTAGAGCTATTTAATAACTTTCTTAATACCTGTGCAAAAATCTTAAACGACGGATATTTAGAAACGTAAGGAATATAATGGATATTTTCATATATGACAGTATTGTGATTCAGAAGAACACATGAACCTGAGTATATACAGCAAACATATATAGAGATGACCATTTGCTATAACTTAAAAGCACAAAAGCACCCTAGTTAATTCTCAGCATCAATCCCATGTTAGTGTCTCAAAGTTGCTTGGAATCATCAAACTTTTCGCCGGAATCTGATCAGAAAAACACCCGCAAAAGTCACTTTCCGACACCCACCACGGCGGGTACAGCCACCCATCAACCGAGTCCACCAGTGTCAACTCGGTACGTGACTCAGGAGAGTCATAACCCCCTCCTAAACTCGGTAACTCTATTATCTCACCCAGCTCATCAGACGCGGTTGTTGACATAGCCGAGGACGACGAAATCAGTGAACTGAGCTCCTCCATTGCAGCCGCTTTCGCCGCTGCAGCTTGTACGTCACGCGGCGAATGTGAAGCCGGACGAGGCAAGGACTCACTGAGTTCAGGGAAATTGAGAACCGCTGAGTTACCTTTAATGCTCAGCTCCGCCACGTCGTGGGCTCTAGCGGCCATCTCAGGAGTGGCGTAAGTGCCAAGCCATATGCGTGATTTCTTGCGAGGCACGCGAATTTCGGACACCCATTTTCCCCAACTTCGCATACGAACCCCTCTGTAAACTGGGTGTTTATCACTACAATCTCTTGTTCTTTTTCTTGTTCTCTTGGAGGGTCTCTTCTTTTCTGAGTTGTGCTTTACTGTTTGGTTACTTGGGTTTGGGACCGAGTTAATGTGCAGGGACTGAGTTGACTCAGATGAAGATCGAGTTGGTGAAAATGGTGGAGAGTTGGCAGTACTGATTTCAGCTTCTGAACTCGGTGGTTCAGCCATGGATGGTGGTGGCTCTGTTCTTTGTCACTTAAAGAATAAAACGTTGTGAATGGCTTTGTATGGAATGTTCTGATGGAGAATTGTGAGTCGGAATAAATAAATGTCACATGCACTGAAGTAAGAGTTCACGAGAGAAAGAAAAAGGTGTTTTGCTGAAGAAAGGTATGTGGTTTTGAAGGAAATATAGGAGAAAAAACTAGCAAAGAGACAAAAACAAAATACCCGTTGGGGGGAGAGAGAGAGAGAGAGAAAGAGACAGAAAGTAAGAGAGAGCTCCTTCAGAGTTCACAGTGACCCTTCACCTACCATCATAATCACAAACTCAACACAAACTTTGTACTAACAAGTCAACAACCCAATAAAATGCCTACTCTTCTCCTCTCACGCCCACCTTTTATATGTCCGTTGGGCGATGATTCGTATTGGTCCGTTATTTTGTTCAGCAGTTTCAACTTAACCATTGGCTGGACCACGAAATTTAGAAACTAGCAAGGCTACAAATCATTGTTTAACCAATAAATTGGTTTCTTTTAATAATTTATATAATAAAATATCTTACAATTTAAATTTCAAAAAATAAACAAAATAACTTTTGTTAGTCGCGATTGAGATCGTTTTAAATTTCATTTTAAAGTTAATCTAACGACTAATATTAATGTTCAAAATTTAATAAGAAAAATAGGCACTCAAATGTGTGTTTGGAGTAACTTTTTAAAAATACTTTTCAAAATTATTTCTCATAAATACTTTTCAAAATTATTTCTCATAAATACTTTTAAAAAAAAATAGTGTTTGAAACTGTCCCACCACTACCGCTATCACCACCACTACCTCTACCACCGACGCCGCTGCCACTACCGTCACCACCGCCATTGCCGCCACCATCACTACCATCGTCGTTGCCACTGTTGCTGCCACCACCACCACCCCCACCCCCGTCGCCACCACCAACTCCACCGTCGCCACCACGGTCATTGTCACCCACCACAACCATTACCGTCTCCTACCACCACCACTATCGCCCACCACTTTTGCCATCCACCACCTTTCACCTCCACTACAACTAATACTTAAATTCATTTACCTCTCATTTATGTTTGTGATTTAATTTTGAATATGAATATAAATATGTTTATTGTTTACTATTTTTTATTACTCTGTGTCTTCAGGCACAGACAATAACTAGTTAACCAATAAATTATTAATCTTTATCTTAATATTTAGATACTGCACGCAACCGCTACCATGCATGTTGGCAAAAAGTGAGAGAGAGAGAGAGATGGGATAGAAGAAAACAAGAGAAATTAATCTCTAATAGCTATAGATGGATGAGGGTAGTTAGAGAAAGNTATTAATCTTTATCTTAATATTTAGATATTGCACGCAACCGCTACCATGCATGTTGGCAAAAAGTGAGAGAGAGAGAGAGAGAGATGGGATAGAAGAAAACAAGAGAAATTAATCTCTAATAGCTATAGATGGATGAGGGTAGTTAGAGAAAGAATTATGAATGGTTGAAGAAGAAGAAAACATGAGTGTATACGAAATCCTCACCTTTTTTATTCATGGGTCTTTCAGAGCTCGGTAGATTTAATTAGATTTATTAATATTTAAGTTCATCAAAGAAAATTATTTTGATAATAAGTTCTCTAGTGAAAAAAAAAGGTTACGTTACCCTTCAAAATAATGCTACAATTGTCTAACCAGATTAAGAAACCAATATTAACATCCCCTTTATTCACGACAAAATAAATATTATCATTAACCTATTCCCTTATTTAACGTTAATACATAACAATTGGGTATGTGTGTATGTGTGTACATATATGGGAGAGAGAGTTATAATATGAGAAAATCTTAAAATTTAGGTATTTTATAAAGAAATAATCTAATATGGGAAATATCTAAAATTAAGGAATTTAATTTTTTATTTTTATTTTTTTTGCTAAACAAACACAAGATTAGTCACACAGAAATTTTCAACTGACACGACAAGTTGCAAGTACAGAGGCAAGAGAACTCTCTGGGATCCACTAGACCACAACACTCTAGCAATTGCTGACTGGATGAGGGTCCAATGCCCATTTAAGAATTTAAAATTTGTTTAAGTCTTGAATTTGATTACTTATCTCATATTAGATAGAGAAAGAGTTCTAATATAAAAAAAACTCTAAAATTTAGTTGTTTTAGTTATCTAAAATTTAGCAAAACAATACATGAACCTTAGTTTCTATTGGACGATATAAAAGTATCTTTTTATGACAAATTACATGTTTTTGAAATTATGATTATGGAAGAACAAACATTCATAAATAACTTAGTAATGTCACACTATCTACTTTTTAAAAAGTATTCACTTTTATGGTTACACTTTCAATGAATATTTTGTTGACATAATTTATAGTCACACATCTTATATATTAATCCAATATCATTCTACTAGTTATTGCCCGTGCGTAAAGGCACAGAATAATAAAAAAAATAGTCAAAAATAAACATATTTACATTCATAATCAAAATCAAATCACAAACATAGATAAAAAAAAAAAGAATTTAAACCCCGGTTATAGTGGAGGTGAACGGTGGTAGTGGAAAACGATGATTGTTATGGTGAGTGGCGATGACTGTAGTGATGGCGGCAGCCAAAAATGGCAACGATGATAGTGATGGTATATTTTAGGTGATGATGATGGTAGTAACAACAATGGATGACGACGGTGGTGGGGGTAGGTGTGGGTGGTGGTGCGCGACGATGATGGTGGTTGGTAGTAGTGGTGGGGTGATGACAGCGGCGGGTTGTGGTGGTGGGCGATGACGATGGTGGTGGTAGGTGATGACGGGTTCTTCTGGACGACAATGTGATGGGTGGTAGTGAATGACAGTGATGGTGGTGGTAGGTGTGGTTGGGGTGGGTGACGACGGGTGCTTTTGGACGATAATGTGATGGGTGGTGGCAAATGACAGTAGTGGTGGTGGTAGGTGTGGTGGGGATAAGTAACAGTGGCTGGCGACGAGGGTGGACGACGATAATTGGTGGTGGGTTGTGGTAATGGGTGGTGATAAGTGGTGGGTCAGTAACAATGGTGGTGGTGGGTGCTAACAGTGGNGCAACTGCAGTGGTGGTGGTTGTTACGGCAAAGCAGAAACGGCCCAACACTATTTGAAGCCTAAAATGACTACTACAAATGATGATTTTTAATTTTAATTTTAATATTAATAATTTTTATTTAAATTTTTTCTTTAGATTAAAAGTAGTCTAATTTTTGTTGTGATAGTCAATCTTAGGGAAAATTTTATCAATTTTAATTTTAAACAATCATAATTTAGTAATTTTAAATTTTCTAGTTTAATAAAAAAAAATTGGTTTATTTTTCGTAATAAAAATAAAAGAAATTCATAATATTTACTAGAGAGTAAGTGAGAGGGGGTCTTAGTTTACTAGAGATAGAGAGAATGGTTACAAATGAAAGGTGTGTGGTGATTGACCAGTTAAAATAATTTTTTTAACCCTAAGTTTTTCTTTTCTTTTTTTCTAAAAAAATTATTATAGTATGTTTTTAATATTATGGGTTAGGTTTATGAGCCAAAACTACTCAAATTTATTTTTAATTGAGTTTAAATTTTTATAAGAAGTTTTTTAAAACCTAAAATTGTATGGATTTAAAAAAATTAATTTGGACTAATTATTCACCTAAGAAATTTGGGGCCTTTTTTTAACATGGGACCCAAAGCCCAGGCTTTGTTGGCCTTGTAATAGAGTCGGGCATATGACAGAGGTGGTGGTGAGGTAGTGGCAGTAGTGATTGTGGTGCTAATGGTGATGGTAATAGGGGTGGGTGAGTATGTTTTGTGTTATGAAAATTTTTAATTTATATTTTTTTCTAGTTTATTTACTTTGCTAAAAATATAAAAAAATATAAAAATATAAAAATAAAAACTTGTTGTTTATTAAATATTTAAATAACATTTTTATGCATAATTTGATTGCACAATATAGAAATAATTTGTGTAGTTTTCAATTTGTAGTTGTTTAAGCATCACATAGAACTTTATTTTATATTTTTGTATCTCATATCATGTTCTTATAAAAATTCATAATTTGTGCACAAAAACTTGCTTCGACTTTAATATTATAAACTCAAGCGCAGGTTGAGCGAATTAATATATTTCTCAGAAAATCGAGTTCGAACCTTCAAACAATTGTAACAAAAAAATAATCACACAAATACTAAAACAAATTTAAAAGTAAATGATTTGTTTAAAGAATTGTTGAACAAAGAAAATTAATTTTAATAATTAAAACAATAATAAAAATACTAGAGCATCAGATACTCCCTCTCAATTCCATACAATAATGATTAAAGACTTAAATCTTAACTTGAGACAAGAATCAGATGTCGGTTGATTCGAGTAACAAATCAAGTAAGAAAACCAAAAGTTATAATCAAAAGATTATTCAGGAACCTGAATAATCATCCAATTATATTATTTTATGAAATAATGATAATTACCTCAAGTGGGGAATAACCAATTTTTTACTCGTAGAGAAATTCAAGCAATCGATGTACATAACACAATGAATCAAAGATTTTTACAGAACAAAAATTTTGTTATAAGATCAGAAATTAAATTAACAAAATATCATAAATCATTAAACTCAGAATCAATAACATTATCTTACTTCATTGAGAGGTTCTTCTCTAACCCTAGCTTAGTTTTTTAGCCAGACATAACGAACTAAAATCAAAATAAAAAGATGAATAAAAAAAAATAATAATAATAATCTCTAAATGAAAACCCCTATTTATACTAAAAAAAAATCCTAAATATAGATAGAAGATATAAGGTTGTCTAGGAAGGAATTCCTTTTTCAAAAAGAAGTCTTGTAAGTTTAAATTCTGTGCATAAAATCTATTGGGCGCGGGTATAAAATCTATCCAGACTTCAATCTTGGATTTCACATATTTAGAGGTTGATTCACGAAATTTTCGTGAAATACACTTTTGTAGCCCTTTAAGTCTTCTTTTCAACCCCCAAAAATCAAATAAATCGGATATTAGAGTCAAAAGT